ATGGGGTATTCTCTCTATCCCTCTAGACATGTATGATGAAAACTTGACAAGGCATATCAAACACTGACACAAATAATTTTTTTCATGCTGAAAATATTAACGATCATAAATAGCAAAAGATCACTAACCCTGTAAAGATTCAGTTGAACACATTGCAAAATGTAAATTACTTGCTGTTGTGTCAAATTTCAAAAGCATTTACCGATAGTTATTAAAATTGCAGTCATGACGTCAATATTTTTCCTTCCTTTCGTTTCACATGGCTTATTTCTTGATTTTAATAAATATGCATGCATTGACTACTCCAATCGGATGAGTGTCATCTAGGCATAGTAATCACTCAGCTGGAGAATTGTGTTTAATACTGTACATTTATTTTTCATTTTTCAAACTGATTTCATCACAATCATTATTAACCAGCCAGCAATCTTGACAAAATCAATTCGTTCAGACTCCTAATTATGTAATGTCTATGTACAAAATACTATAGGGGGAACTAAAATCTGTGTTATGTTCCATATATAGTAAACATAAAAAACAAGTGTAATGTACATCGTCTGTTTACATGAAATTTTAACACTCCCTAAACAGCACCTAAACAATCTCAAAATAGAAGTACTGCATATAAAAAAAAAAAATTCAAAAACTTATTTGTAATGGTACTAGTACTAATTGCTCTACATTTTAACAGATTTTTTTCCTTGCAATTTCAATTGATTATGATACTGACTGTACAGAGTTTTAGTAGAGTGGAAAGGTATGCAAGCAAGTGAACCTTAGAACTGAAAAGATTTATAGAAAACTGTACTACGGTGTTGAATAATAAAATGCCCAGCAGGGTTAAAGGTCAAAATAAAATATGTTACATAGTACAACAATAGTTTGCAATTTATTTTCATTAAATCTACTACACTGTCATTGTTGCCATGCATTTTCTAACCCTATAACAGGATTACATATTTTAAACTACTCTGTAAAGATTGGTGACACTTTTTGCAGTAAACATACTTTCAGGAACATCACCCGAATGAAGGGGGGGGGCAAGTAGCAAAATAGTGCAATGACGGAAATTCAAGACTTGACATTCTATCTGCAGAAAGAATTTGAAGAGGGGAGGGGTTCACCATGACTACAAACTAGGTTAAATCTAGTGTGTAGTAATTGTTTAATAGTCCGTTAATCATAAAATGTTATCTCCAATTAATTTCAATAAAACTACACGACTGATAAGGAATCAAGATTTGATAATGTTAAAAAAAAAATTTTTTTTTACATTTTAGTATTTGGTTGAAATGTATCTCATTGAGTCTGAACTCTCAAACAGTGATTTATTTCAACCAAAAGTTGCCAATTTTCATTTCATTTTTAACACTCTACACTACAAATCAATTCTTATTCACAATAATTGTGTAATAGCAATAGAAAAATAAAATTCTTATCATTGTTCATAACAGATTAATAATTCAGTGATTTTGTCAGAGGGGATATGAGCTTACCAGACTGTAAACGACAGCATTATGGAATATATCGGATATTAATACACACATTATAGTGAAATATCCGCTTTTTCCTCAATACGTTATACAATGTCTTCAGCATGTTGACGAAACAGGAGAAAGATATGTCCAATTTATTGTTACATTCCGGAATGTACAATGTTCATTTCGTTTTATTTTTACAAAAACTGATTATTTTCCAACAAACGAGTTTATTTGATTTGATGTTTCACTTTTTTTTGCTTAAATATAATTCAATGACATTGTCTTATTCCCATTGCCTCTCATATTACTATAAAATTTGCTACACAAAATAAAGTCATCGAGGTCACGACTCGGTTAGCCTTGCTCAACTGGTTCGTAAGCAGTCTTGTGATTGGTTGTTGACAAATGCTAAACAGGCCACGCCTCCAACTGTGTCGTGCGTTCGGACTAACCGTTAGGAATTCCTAAATGGAGTCAATTTGTGTAGTTTTCTTGATTTATTCTGCAGATATCGGTAAAATGTAGGTAAGGCTTTGGCGAAATTCGAAGGAGCAACTAATATTCTTTAACCTGGTACTTTTTTTAGATTTTTAGATTTTATTTTTTTCGTCTGTTTTTTCGAGTTTAAAAAATGTTAGCTGGCTGGAGCCTTCATCCCTTGTCTATTTCTTACACTAGATACCAGCCGATACCTTCCCCCACCACGCTCATAGAGACTGCGTATTACAGTTGATTATAGTTCCTGGGTTCCCTGTGGTAATACACATGATTTGTATTACCAATTTGTATTTACAAGACAATTTCTTTGTATTAATTGCAAAATTAGTACAACATGGCAGGAAAGAACAGTTAAAGGCTAGACCAGCAAAGGTCTATTTCAATTTTGTATAAACAAACAATATAATGCATAGGTCGTATTGGAGGTCGTATTTGTTTACGTTTTGTATGCGTGTGCGTGCACAGTGACTGGTAGGCAATAAGCGGTCATTCGTATCTGAAAATAAAATTTAAATGACTTTGTGTTCTTGTTAATAAAAAATAGTTTATGGTCAACATTGGAGACAAATTAATAGTGAACATTTACATAATGTCCCACAATTCCATGCTGCACTATCTCAGGGAATGAAAGTCTTCCCTCTCATTTTACATGTATAACCCTATTTTATTATTTGAGAGGAGGTAGTCATGTCCCATTAGCGCTTCCCCAATCGCTACAAAAGAGCTTGCTGGCATAATACTGCGATGTAATAATTTATGAGAATTTATTTAAAAGTAGACCCATGGTGGTGCATGATGGGTATTTCAGCTGTTGAAGCAGACTAATCGATAGCTGTCACATACAAACTGTGATCTGAGACACAATATCATTATTAAATTTATTATTAAACCGACAGAAATTAAATTTAATTTTGAATGAGAATGAGAATTATAAAGTAGGTAACGTAATATGAAGTTATCAAAAGAATATCGTAAACATGAGTGCATTACGGCGACTGTATCGACTGTGCATAGCGTACATATTGCCCGAGTACATATTTACCGTATTCTAGTGATAACTTTATCATTGTACATATTTTTTCTGCTCGTCGTGATCATTTTATGAGATTGTAGCCCAAACGGCAGCGAAAAACATTAAGCGATGTGCAAAAGTTTTTGTTCAGTGACAGGATTATATTTCTATCGCGCAAAAGCGCTTCCAAATGTTAACATGGCAAAGTGTTGAAATATGACATCAATAATCTTTTAACGCATCTATGTTGGTAACGTAGTTATAAATTTGAATGATACGTGCTGATATGTTTTGGAACGAGTGCTGATATGGCAAATTCTATTGTTTTTTTATGCTAAATGTATAATAGTCTTACAGTGACGAAAAAGGTCCAGGACATACATTATTTACATTAGCAGTAAACACTAGTAAATAAATAAATATCCGTCAAAATATTACAATTTAATCTAACTAACTAAAATAATGTTTCCTCCTTTGAGTAACAGTATTATAATCTACGTTTGTCTAAAAATAAGTGACCTTGTCGTTAAAACTGGTTATGATTAGCGCATATGTTACGAGATAATTATGATGGAGTTAAAGGGTAACAGCTTTGCGGGTACTTTTAAAAATAGTCGCATTTTTGTACATTGGATTATGTGACCTCTAGAACAAGGTGATAATTTCCATGGTAACATGAATCATTTCTGACTCACAGGTCATGAAAGGTCAGGCTTTATGTCATATCGAGGTAATACCAGAATAAAAAGACATTTTTCTCAAAAGTGATAAGAACACTAACATCATTGTTACCATACAAATACAGTTATGCCACAAAGAAAAATAAATTAGAATTGTTTTTTGATATTTATTTTTTAATATAGAATCCCGACTGTGGCTAAAGCCATTCCATTTTACAAAACAGTGGTGTCACTTTCTTGATTTTTTCATACCATCTCTAACAGACAATTACAGCGAGTAAAAGTCAACGTCCGGTCTGCACAACGAAAACACACCTCTATTTATCAGCTGTTTGCCCTGCTGTCTGAAGCAATGTAAGACCCACAAACAATCAATTTGAATAGCAATCGCTTTTGTTCGAGTTTGTTTTGTTAAATATTAAGTTTAACTATCAAGGGACCACTAAACATGGCATGTGTTCTTGTGTAACTTGCAGTAAGCTGTACTGAATTTGAAACACCAACAAAGCACGGAAGAGTTTTTGTGCCACTGCCATGGGCACAAAAGAAAAGTAACAAGACCGCTTTCTCTGGAATGTGAGATTGAAATTACTCTGCCAAGAAGTCAATTCAGAAATATAGGACAGTTAACTTTAATTAATAATAACAGTAACTTTTTTTTTAAATAATTACACTACAGATAAGAGAAGCAGTGACAACAACTTATCCTACTTGACAGTATGTGTTACCATGGCAGTATTCAAAGTTTACATCCAATAATTATAATATTATCTTTAATGTATGGCAATGTTTTGATGTTAAATCGGCGCAAAACTGAAGCTTTGTTTTTAACTCAGTGATGACCACCTGTTTGAACGCCATCCGCCCACTCATCTCGGTCACGGACTAGGTACATCATGTGGCAGAGACACGCGCACGCCTCCACAAGTAAAACTGGTTACAAGGAGTTTCAAGAACGTCAATGATTTTTCCCCAGTTACTGTGAGGCTGATGGCAAGTTCCGTTTCGGTGAGGGGAAACGACAACACATTATTGAAACGTAATCTGAATTTGTACAGGCAGCAAAACAATTGTAATGTAATTGTTGACGTTATTTTTGTATAACGAAGTGTTACTCTATATTCTGTTCAAGTATCTGAGGACAAATCGACCAAAGTTTAAATAACCGGAACGTTAATAAAATGTTTATATTCATTACATAACAAAATGAAACACACCGGAACGGAGCGGGTTAATTATTGATCAAGGCGGAGACAGTACCGGCTACTGACGCGAAGCAGGGTACATGTTTCGGGAGTTGTGAGGACGTGCATGGTGTCAACAACTTACCTCGATCCACCTCTGTGACTCGATCAGAGCGTCGTCAATATTGTGATCCGCTAAGTCGGTGGTACACCTAGAAGAAGGGTCCCATACATCGGATTTCAGTTCATATGACATGTTGTGTTTTTAAAGTGTTACGGCACGTCTAAAACAGATCGCCCATTCACGATGGATGTCGACTGAGTGCACAGCACACTTTAGCAGACGAAGTATTCTTCGGCGGCAACAACAACAAGCAATCGAAAACTATTCTGGTTTCATCGATTCTTTACTATAAATCCCCACGTGTTCAAACTTGCACGCGACTTCAGTGTGTGGTCAAAACACCCAAATTAATAACGTACGATCAGATATGCGCGGGTAACTTGAAATAATGCCAACAACACTCGTGAAGTGTGCTTTCGTAATATTCATACTTGACATTCCAACCTTGTCAGCTGACAGAACAGAAGCATAGTGATTGGTTGCAATGGCGATCTAATCTGCATATTTATTAATAGTATGTTTACACATACCACATTGCTCCATCTAAGTTGCTAACGATTTACCTGTCCCGAATACTAGTATGTGACTGAAATATGACACCTGTACACACACATTGACACCAGCGTTGAAATAAATTAGAACACAGTTTTACAACTTATACATACAACTGTAACGGTTCAAAAAATACTGGAAATTTTCAAAAATGTTTATTTTTTAGTGTTTATATCTGACAGTTTTTAACCAAACTAGAAATGTATTTATTCTTTATGGTAGTAATAAAAAAATATCTTATCTTATTTGATCTGGTCTCCACCCCATGGGACAAAATTTGACGGATGTCTATCACCCGAGCTCATAATATCGACCATATTCTAAGGAAATTTGGCCTGCAAATGAGCGAAAAATGCTGCTTAGTGAAACTCATTCATCAACAGGGCTCTTTCTCTTAGATGGAACATTTTGATAGAGCTAGGAACGGGTATGTCGTGCCGCGATCATCGTTACAGTTGTTTATATTATGAAATATTTTGGAATACTTTTTATTTGCAGTATCGGCCGATGAAACTTCTTTTGCAAAAATAGCATACATATAATGTATTTAAAGGGCGGTGTTCTACGAGATTTAGGATAAAATATGTGTAAGTCAGAATAATTAAAACGAATATATGAAATATTATTAATCAAGTATTATTATAGCATTGATGTAACTTGCAACACTGTTTTGGGAACATTGTTCATTTATCAAGTTACTTTTGCACAAGTGGGAAACATTTTGCACAAACTGTGTTGGTGGCGCTCTTCGTTTTACGCATGGTAGTACGTGGAACCAGCTGATGCAGTCGATGCACGCAAGTACTACGACGGAGGTGTTGAAAGGGGAACACATTTGACAATTTCTTGAATTTGTGTCAAGTTATTCCATGTGATAAGTTGTTTGTAAAGTACAACTTGGGGAAACGGGGTTATAACCAATATTTGTCTGAATTATGAACTTTAGTTTCCCGAGTTGACGCTACAGGAATCAATGTTTTCCGCTCCTTTTACAGTACAATTTTTGTAATTGTTTTTTTTTTGCTCAGCAAAATACCAACAATTTTTTCCACATGTTTACTATTTAGTCGTTGCCATCCATTAATTTTGCATGTCACCATGCAAACAAACCACTGCTACTATATTAACCTACCCAATACTCTGATTACATCATTATACAGGTACATTAAACAAGAGCCTCTCTTAGGCCGTAAATTATGAGCTTGTGAAATCTTGTATACAAAGTTAGTGATATAGCAATCTCCCCACAGTTTTGATTGTCCTTTGGTTTTAAGAGTCATTCAAGCTATCAACCGTTAGTCCTCTGCCGTTCCAACACATCCTGCCCATTGCTACAACGTATGTATTACGTGCGGGAGTTAACAAGGGATTGTTGACATCAACATAGGTTAGGTTATGTTAGAAGCCGTATTTGAATTAGTATTTCCTTCTCCGTCTGATCTAATCCTCTGTTCTCCGGGCACCCGAGTATTGCCAGAAAAAATCCTTTTATTCCTTTAATATAATTTAAAAGGTATTGATGACAGCTAGTAGTTTATAACAATCCCGTCGTGTGCATGCCGTTTACTGAGCAGTATCATGCGAGGAACCCGCTATCTGGCCATAAATTGACCATAAATACTCATTGAGACTGGCGGGCAAAAGAAAATCCCTAGAAATGTAAGAATATGTAAACTTTGCACAGACAATGAAATTGAAGACTAGTACTATTTCTTAATAGGATATAGTAAATATGACTTACCCCGTAATAAATTATTTAAGGTAGAGATGCAGTTTATTTGGCTTGCTTTTTAATTGAGTAATTAGACAATGAAGATGGTATTATATATCCAACATGTTATATATTTTCTGAAAGCTTATTATACAAACTTTGTAAAACTTGTCTTTATTTTAAATATCCAGAATGCGTTTTTGATTTTGGGTCAAAAATATGCTTTTTTGGACAAAAGTGGTTTAAAAAAAATTAGCTTAAAAACTTCAAGTCCGTTTGTGGGTAAAATTACATCACTGGAT